ATCTATCTATCTATCTATCTATCTATCTATCTATCTATCTATCTATCTTCTATAATCTCTTTCAGAGATTATAAGTGCAATGTGCTTGGGTGTGGCTTGTTATTAAAATAACAAACAGGCTTACCTTGATGATGAAATCTGCTGTCAGGGGCCCAGCCATCCTTAGTATCTCTTTGTCTGGAAGTTTCTGGAAGTCCACTGTAGAATTGTCCATGAGGAAAGTTCCTGTAGAGCTCAGCCTGTTCTCACCTTTAGTCCCCTGGAGCGTCTTGGTTTCCAGGTCTATATAATCAAATGCAAGAAGAGGACAGGCGGACATGCCTGGGCTACCATAGAACACATGTAAGCACATTTTATGGAGTTAAAACTTATACTACTTAAGAGAGGAGCATTATTCTTTTGATAGCCAACACTATTGAAATTGTAATATAAATAAGATATTTAAGCATGGCTATGTCATATAGAAGATTATGTTGCAAATGAGATTATTTTAAAACTCACTATCCAAGAATCCATGGCTCCCTGTCAAAATACCCTTTGACTTTCCAATACCTCATCTGAGCATCCCACTTTATTGTAACCCAATTCCTTTGGCTAATCCATGTCTCGTACGTATCTAACTGATGTCTGTTCTGACTGCCTTCAGCCCAGCAATACCCTCCAGTGTTCTTTTTGCTCATCGATGTAGGTCCAGGTGCATCCATGCTTTGCTAGGCATCTGCGTGACTTTCTGCTCACGCACTACCCTGCACCCCTTTCTACTTTCTGCTGCTTACTGCACATGTGTTGTTGCTCAACTGAACAAGACAATAGTGGCTTAAGGACAGGTGCTATCCATTGAGTCCCCTCTCTTTTGACAGCCACTTTTGATAATTGGTTTTATTTATGTCTGTGATATTTTATAAATGATTAAGCAGAAAGAAATGGATCCTAGAGCATCCAAGTCTTATATTGTTCAATGACACAGTCTATGAGGCATCTTTTATTGTAGGAAATTAGAGCATGCTGAAGATGATAGCAGTTGTGATTTTATATATTTATATTTATATATAATATATATTACATATACATATATATAACTGCAAATGGATTTGTGATTATTGATTGTAATATGCATTAACACACATATCACAATATATATTGATAATATATATGAATTATGTCTTATAAGTACAGGCAGGATGATTTGGGTGCAGGAGACTATCAAAAGTTGGGAAGGAGAGCCAGGTTCTTTACTAAATATATATTGATAATATATACAGAGAGGCGTAGGTCATGATTGAGAAGTTATTTGGAGTAATTGTAGACTATATGAAGAAAGACAGAGGGACTTAGCCAAATGATTTCCAGAAGAAATTGCACAAGAACCATCTTGTTTTCTGCTAGCAGTTCTTTGGTGGAAGGATGTTAGTCTCCGTGTCTCTCAGCTCAGTTTTAAACATGGCTCCTTCTTCTATTTTACAAAAAGCTTTTGAGTTAGAAACACATGTAGCTTCTCTGAAGGTGCTAGAGCCCAAGGGCAGCCTAGTTCTGAGCTCTCAGTTCTGCTAAGAGGCCTTCTCTGCTGTCTTTCTCAAATGCATCAGGTTAGAGATAGACTGGTGTGGTGCTTCTTTGGCTTGAAATAATTAAGTCTGGTACCCTCGTGGGTTAGTGAAGGGAAAACAGCCACAGGAGACATGGGGCATCATTTACCAGTGCCCCCCATCATTTTGTTGAAATAACTAAAAAATAATTTTAAAAGAAATAAAACGGCAAATTCTTCTAAAATATCTTTTGAAATTAAAATACAATTACATAATTTCTCCCCTTTCCTTTCTCCCCTCCAGACTTTCCTATGTTCCACCCCTTGCCCTTGAGTTCACAGCCTCTATTTCTTTAATTGTTATTACATGTATTTATCTACGTCTTTACAACCTGCCCAGTCTGTATAATGTTCCGTGTGTGTGTGTGCATGCGAGAGAGAGAGAGAGAGAGAGAGAGAGAGAGAGAGAGAGAGAGAGAGAGTATTCAGGACTGACCACTTGGTACTGTCTACCTATCTAGTGTAAGCAGCATGCTCACTGGGGAAAAGCAGATCTCATATTGCATTTCATCATTCATGAATATCATTTGTAGCTTACCTAGTCATTGTTTAGGACAGATCAAGAAAATAGAGCTAATTCTTAGGTTTTTGTGCATTTTTGTATATGCATTGTGTGTGCATGTGTGTGTGTGTGTGTGTGTGTGTGTGTGTGTGTGTGTGTGTGTAGAGGACACTGTTGAAGTTGGGTGTCTTCCTCAATCACTTTGCATCTTAACTTCTTGAGACAGGGTCTCTCTTTGGACCTGGGGCTCATTTATTGGGTGATATTGGCAGGCTACTAAGCTCTGGGGAGCCAGCACATCTGTGCCTCCAGTGCTATGATTGCAGACATATACTGCTTTAGTATCTGGCTTCTTACATAATGGTTGGGGGATCTGAACTCAGACCCTCATGCTTGCACAGCGAGCACCTTACAAACTGAGCCACCTCCTTGACCCCCAATTCTTCAGCTCCTCAGCAATCATAAAACTGGGAAATACAGGAGACTATCATATTTATAAATATATTTTTTCGGCAACATCAAGTCATTTTCCCGTGTGGCGATGATCTCAGTCTGGCTATTTTATTTCAGTCTCCGTCACTGCTCACAAAAATCCCATTTTGGAGTGTGGTTGTTATAAGAGCAGCTAGCTATGTTCTCTCCTCAAGGGGATAAACAAATCATTTGGATGGTAAAAAGTGCACACATATATTATCTTTTGACAAGTGAACCCTAGACTCTATGGGGCTGCTCAGGATTAGAAAAGAACTTGGGTCCATATAAGGATGACTTCCCTCTGTTTTCTTGTTTTGCCTAAATGGTACCTCGCTTACTCCTGACTTCACACGACCTTTCAAACTTCACCTCTTTGATTAAATGTGTTTGTTTTTCAGAATAATTAGTAGGATATGTTAACTATTATACGCACTGGTCTATCTTCTTCTTGATTATCTGATTATAATGATCTTTGTAGTCTCATTGCCAGAAAATAATCCCTGCTACTTCAACTGGCTTCGTGGGCATTGTGTGGAAGAGGAGGAGGAAACTCAGAGATGAGCAGAGTGGAGGGGACCAGCAGTGCTCAGAGGAACAACTGAGCGCAGTGAGAGCGAAGTTCAGAGGAAATATTATCAACCCCCTTTGTTCATATAACAGACCATAATTCTCTTGTTGGAATCTATAGATCTTTACCTAAATGTTGCTAAACCGTAAGGAATAAGATGTGACTGGGTATCAGCACCTTGGCACGACTGACAATCAGTTCTTATAGACAAACCCTACGTGAACTCAGCGACCATTTTGTCTTTAAGGCTTTAAAACTCCTACCATTTATCTCTTCACAATATGAGGGTTTTTAATTAACACACAGAATTAATTTTTCTTCAAAGGTTTGTTTTAAATGTAGGTTGTGTGTTGCGTCCACATATTTGTGGATTGATGAAGTAAAGATTTAAATATGGAAGGAAGAGAAAAAGAATGGGGAAGAAATGAGTTTTAGAAGGAGGGAAAGGAAAAGAGAGGCGAGAAAAGAGAAAAGGGAAGAGTGACTACAGAGGAAGTAGGCAGAGACATAGTCGCCACAAGGCTTGGTGACCCACTCATTGCACAGCCCACGGACAACCCACGGGCACCAGCTATGCCATAGTTTTCAGGATGACTGTGCTTAGAGACGATTGGTGGCTTATCAGGCCACAATTATAGACAGAAGCCGTTCACGCTGTCCCAGCACACTGCAGAGTGGCAGAGATTAGTTCTCTTGAACTTTTGACCCTTCTGGTAACGAAAATTAATGATAAAAACTAAAACGTCCAGCCCGCCCCCACCCCCAGGAAAACAGAGGCTCTACTTACACAAATGATCTGGCCCCTTTAAGACGAGGCGGATGTGTCTGCTTCCATAAGGAATGGCAACCACGGTGTCATCCGCTAGAGAGAAACAGTGAAACTTTAAAAGCACAGAATCTGACACAAAATCATTGAGTGTCTCCCTTACAAAGGTAGGGACAGTAGATTTAAACCTTTTTCTTTTAGTCTTTGAAATGTGAAGCCAATGCTTTAGAATTGAAATGTCTGCTTTCTCCAAAATAAAACATGCAGAGCAAAACGTATAGCTCAATAAAATCAAATAAAATAAAAAAATAAAACATGCCAAAGAGGCCAGTTGCTGCTTAGCTTAGGGGAATTTGGCTTCTTAAAGTGAATATGCTTTAATTTTTTTTTAAAAAAAAAAGATTTGTTTTATTTTTAAGTGTGTGTGTGTGAGTCTGTCTCCAGGTTGGGATATGTGCACAAGTGAGGGCGTTGCCCATGGTGACCGGAAGAGGGTGGCAGATCTCCAGAGCTATTGCGAGCCACATGACTTGGCTACTGAAAACGAAACTTGAGTGTTCTCCAAAAACAGTATGCTCTTGAGCTACTAAGTCATCTTCTCAGCACCCTCCCCCCATTTTGATTTTAAAATGAACTTGTAAGGGACTCCTTTTGATTTTATAATGCTATCAAATTTTCCTGAATTACAACATTTGCACTGGATTAAAAATAAAAATAAGTCCTAGTTCAAAGGATGACGTATATTATCAGAATTTGCATCTCCCTCTGTGAAAGCATCTTGGCTAAGTGGGCAGACTAGAAAGGGAAAATACATTTGTGTGCTCTGAACCCTCACAATCTTTCCTTCCCCTTCTTGACTATAAACTACTTTCATTCTTAATGAAATACTGTGCAAGTCTGGTCAATGATGATCTAATATATCTCCACATTTTCCATCGATGTTTCAAAATACCTTTAAAAATCTGGCTGAATCAAAGGTTATTCTACCATGGGGCATCCTACCGATAAACTGAACATACATTCACACGATGCACAGATTAAAAAAACAGGGAGACTGGAGAGACAGCTCAGTGGCTCAGAGCCCTTGCTGCTTTTGCAGAGAACCTGAGTTCAGTTCCCGGCACCCACATCAGGTGGCCCACAACCATCTGTAACTCCAGCTCCAGGGAATCAGATACCTTTGGCCTCCTCAGGTACCTTCATTTACACGTGTGTCCATACTCATGTCCATACACATGTACCTACACATAATTCAAAATAAAAATAAAACCCTTAAAAAGTAATCAGAGGTAGATGACACCCACCCTGCTGACACTACAGGCACAGCCGCTTGAAACCCCATCTCTGACAATGCCTTACAATTACCTTTGCCGCGGGCTCATTTTCACGACAAAGACTGTTTCACCCATCACAGGCGACATGAACAAAGAGGATTTCATGATGAAGGAATGGAATCTCCAGAGGCATGATGATAAAAACAAGGCCAAGTGGAGAGAAAAGCACTTGAGAGACAAAAAAAGGCAAGTTCTTTAAAATGAGCCATTATATCCAGAAATTGGGCATGATTGTTTATTGCTGCTTATGTTTCTAACGTTAGATATCGTCATAATACTGGGATAAATAGGTTTAAACAGAAGATTCTCAATGGAGGTTAGCTGCAGATAGTGAGCCTCAGAAGTTACCTAATGAGTCTCACTCAGCTCCTATGCTTCTCAAAGAAGGTAACATGTACTACTGCCATATACAGACATGAATAGGTAACATTTAACACTGCCACACACAAACATGAAGAGCAGATACACATATAAATATGTTGCCTGGAACACAGTAGGTATTCAATACCTTTATTTGCCTCACTTCTGTTCTTAAGAAATGGGGCAGAGAGCCTGAGAGATGGCTCAGTGGTTAAGAGTACAGATTGCTCTTCCACAGGCCCCGGGTTCAATTCCCAACACCCACACGGCAGCTCACAACTGTCTCTAACTTCAGTTTCAATAGCTTCTTCTGTTTTCCACAGGCACCAGGTCTGAATGGCGCTGAAAGACTTTTATTTTACGTGCCACCAAACACTGCAGGTTCCCTAGAACACAACCTGCTGACTGAGGAGAGCAAATCATGAGTCTTCATTCCCGCCCGGAAGAGGTTACATTTATCAAGGCTGTTGAATGCTCTACCTACATTATACATTTATTGCTGTTTTGAAGGCCATGTGTTGTTGAATAAAAAGCTGTATTTCTGAGAGCGAGTACTTTGGGGCACAGAAAGCAAACTGAATAAGGGAAAAACAGAAGAGGAACACAGGGACATTAAGGCTGGGCCTGCAGAACCTTAAGTTTCAAAAAGACGTGCATTTTGAAGTTTGCAAAAGAAATTCAGAAGAAGTTGAAACAATGGGATTTCTGGAAAAAGCAAGTCTTTGTTTATCCACAGGTCAAGTAAAGTCCATGTGAAAGGGAAGCTTTCTGTTTGGTCCTGCTCTGCTCAGCAGCAGTCTTCTGACCCCCACACGGCCCATGGGCTCGCTCCTCTTTGTTAGAATGATCTCGCATTCCTCATGCTATGGCAGTAACATTGCCTTTTGGCTGATGCATTAAAGTTTGTGTGCTTCAGAGGGAAGAGTAGGGAGGAACCCTGAAGGCTGCAGAGGGTATAAGGCAGGATGAGGAAAGCCCACCAAACAAGAGGGAAGAAGTATCTTTGGACGTCCTTCTGCACGTGCCTAGTCAAGGAGGCAAATGGGTTAACATGGGTGCTAGAGTGATGGGCAGAACACAACACAGGGGTTGGAGAGCCCTAGTCTGCTCTTGTGTTGTGAGATGACTCTGGAAGCCACTAGGAATCAGTCAATTCATCATTGTGTTCTATGAAGTTTATAAGAGTCTCTCACATGTCATGTTTTATGTGAGAGAGTACAGACTCAAATAAATGGGTAAACCATTAGCCCCAATCTTTGGAGCCTGAGAAAATGGCTCTAGGGAAGTATAGGGAAACCTGCTGACTATATCCTATCCAGGGGAATTCTCAGCACTCTTTCATTAGTTTCTATGAGTTCCTCAGCAACCCGGAATCACATTCCATCCATTCTGTTGAACTCAGGGTATGTCCAACACGAATGTCCTAAGAATTGTTAACAGCACCTGATGTGTCAGGACAGAACTTGGGAAATAGGCTCCTGATGTGAGGATCCTAAGTGGTCACTCCTAAACATATGCACATAGGCAATGCTAATCAGACTCAGTAGGTTGAATACAAAGTCTATAATGGTTCTATAATAATTATAGATGGTCATTGAATTTGAGTGGGGATAGTAGGAAGTTCATGGGAAGAGTTGTGTGGGGAAGGGAGGGGTAAAATGATATGAACACAGTCTTATTCATGCATGAAATTATCAATGATTAAAATATAAAAAAGGAAAATGTGAAAAATTTAATTTCTGCATGCTAACAGAAAAAGCTGTTCTTCTAACTGCAATACATTATTGCATTTAACAATAAACTCTCATTGCTTTAGTGCGGATTGGAAGATTCTTGTAGTTAGTGTCCCTGCTTTGCACAGGGGAGTTTAAAAAGTTCCAAGGTAGGATGTGTTGTTCTGCCTGCTTCCTGAGTGACTAGTGTAACCAGTGTGGTTGGTGGGAAGGCAGTCACATCTCTCACCATGCCACCCGTTCCTCTGAATGCCCTGTCCTACAAAGGCACACTGTTTCTTGCTCGACTGCATCTGTCCTAATCTAGTCTAGCTTTGCTGACAGAACTGTGATGCCAGTCTTTGGGACATAGTTCTGGGTTACTAATCAACATTTTAAGAGAGATTAGATAACATATTGTGTTCCGTGGACAAGCTAGCTCTTCATGGGAGTCATGAATTCTGTCATTTCACACACCTGGGTGGCAACTGACATTTCACAAGCCAACTGTTACCAAGAAATGGACTTAAAAGATTTATTTGAGAATTTTATAGTGTGGCAGATACTTTCTTCACTTCTCTATATAGAGCATTTGAATGAAGTTTTAAATTCTGTCGGTGTCCTGAACTGATGAATCAGAGAAAGGTGAAAAGCTAATACTTTGCAAACACAGGTTTCTTATTTTGATGTCCAAGTTTATCTTAGTTTTAGATCTGCTGTTAGGTTCACAATTTATAGGACTCTTCCCTGGAGATAATACTTGATCTTATTTTTTAAATGAAAGGATGATTATTGTTAACACAAAACGCCTGCCAATATTAAGAAAGTTTTGATGGGGTATTTTAAACCCTTATCTCAACTTTAGTGCTCTAAAAGCATATCCAACAAAACAGAAGAGGCTTAAGATTTAAGCCTGTCAGCCTTCCATCCCACCCAAGTTTATCAGTAATTGCATAATGAAAGATATATGCAGGGCAGGCCAAGTAATACTCTCTCTATTATCAACTGGAAAAATTGTTATCTTTTTAGGGGTCTAGGCCAAAAACTGTAGTGCTATCCAAAATTACATTTAATCAGAATAAGCTCTATTGTTAAAATATTTTACTTCATTGATTCTAAGAGGAACACACACTCATATTTTATGTTAGGATAATTGCACAATAACGTCTGAAATTCTTTGCTATGCAGGCTGTAATCCTGCCTTATCCCTCTTCAGATGCATAGATACTAACATTAAAATTGCATTGTATGACTGTATAAGATTTTAAAAATTTACAAAATATCACATTAAAAACTAGCTGACATACATGTAAAATGAGAGCCAGAAGTATGGAAGAAATTTCCATGGCAATATTAGAACAGATTCCTTAAAACCCTGGGAAATAACTATAGAGCCTGCTAGATAATGAGAACTGAAGGACCACACAACATCCCCATAAAGGAGTCAAAGGTATTTGGTTCTCCATCAGCTGTTCTCAACCTGTTGGGACAGGTCCCCTTTGGGGTTGCATATCAAATCTCTTGCATATCAGATATTTACAGTATGGTTCATAACAGTAGCAAAATAAATTTGGCAACAAAATAATTTCACTGCAACCTGAAGAGCTGTATTAAAGGGTCATTGCATTAGGAAGGTTGGGAACTGCTATTCTACATAATTGCAAAGATGGCTGAAGTACCCAGCCAAGAA